ATTTATTTTCTCTTTTTCTTTTTAGGGGTTTATCTTTAAAGAATTTTTCTCCTGCGCCTATAAACCCTTTACTAGGTCTATGTGTTTATTTATTTATTTATTTATTTATTTATTTATTTATCTATTTATTTATTTTATTTATTTATTTTATTTATTTTATTTATTTTATTTTTTTTATTTGTTTAGGGGTTTATCTTTAAAGAATTTTTCTCCTGCCCCATTGAGTCCCTTCCTAGTTCACGCCCCCATAGTAAAAAACATATTTATTTATTTATTTATTTTTATTTATTTTATTTTATTTTATTTATTTATTTATTTTTATTTATTTATTTTATTTTATTTATTTATTTATTTTTATTTTGTCTCTTTTTTTAGGGGTTTATCTTTATAGAATTTTTCTCCTGCCCCCTCAAACCCTTTACTAGGATACCCATATATAATATAAAAACTATTTTATTTTATTTTATTTTATTTTATTTTATTTTTATTTTTATTTTATTTATTTATTTATTTATTTTATTTGTTTAGGGGTTTATCTTTAAAGAATTTTTCTCCTGCGCCTCTAAACCCTTTACTAGGATACGCATATATAAATCTATATTTCTTTTTCTTTTTTTTTATTTTATTTTTATTTATTTATTTATTTATTTATTTTATTTTATTTATTTTATTTGTTTAGGGGTTTATGTTTAAAGAATTTTTCTCCCGCGCCTATAAACCCTTTCCTAGTTCACACCCACATAACATAAAAAACATATTTATGTATGTATTTATTTATTTTTATTTTATTTATTTTATTTTATTTTTATTTTATTTATTTATTTTATTTTATTTAGGGGTTTATCTTTAAAGAATTTTTCTCCCGCGCCTCTAAACCCTTTACTAGGATACGCACATATAAATACATATTTCTTTTTCTTTTTTTTTATTTTATTTATTTTATTTTATTTTTATTTTATTTATTTATTTTATTTTATTTAGGGGTTTATCTCTAAAGAATTTCTCTCCCGCGCCTCTAAACCCTTTACTAGGATACGCAGCAACAGGAGAAGCCGATGATTGGCTGCTAGCAGCAAAAGGGGTAGCAGCAATGAGCCCAGAGATAGGGTTAGAGTCTGGGGGCCCCTGGCAGGGTATGCTGCTGCAGCAGCTGCAGCAGGCAGCAGCAGCAGGAGGAGAACATATATTATTAAACTACTATCGAGCACAAGCAGCAGCAGACAAAGCTGGCGATGAATTTGCTGCTAGAATAAAAAAAAATCACAAAGACACAAGACAGATACTTCGCTTGCTGCAGCTGCTGCAGCAATACAAACTTTATCTAACCCAGCAGCAGCAGCAATGGGAAGTGCGTACACTGGAGATAAGCAACAAGTAAGCAGCCATCGACTTGTGGCTAGCTGCT